ATCATTCATGCCGCCGAAGAGTAAATCATGCTGTTCCTTTGTTGTTTGTACCTACGAGGTAAAGGAAGAGTAGAGACTCTCGAATCTGTAGTTAATTAAAAGACGCCAACTATTGAACAACGTTCTTACAAAAAAAAAAAAAAGGGAAAAATGTTGAATAGGGATTTTTTTTTTTTTAAGAAAATATTCAAAAACTTACAGGCCACTCCGCACTTATGTAAGTAATTTAATCATCTTTGAAATAATTAACGTTTTATATAATTAAACGATAAGAATAGATTTTTAAAAAAATTTAAAATCACAACTACCCTATCTAATCTAACACTCACAAACAAATATACATATATTTTTTTTTTGATGAATCAAAAATGTTATTAATAAAAGAGTACAAGGGTACTCACCCATACAAACAAATATACATATAAAATATCAATATCAATATTAGATTTTTTATTTATATTTAAAAATTAAAATTTTAATTCAAAATTTAAAAATTTTATTAATTTTTAAAATTTTATATTAAAATTTTAATAAAATAAAATAAAATAATTTAAAATTAAGATCTTCATTATTTTTTTAAAATTAGAATTGATATACACTTTTTCATATATATATATATATATATATATCTCAAAACTGTGATTTTTTAAATTTACCAATGGGTTCTCTTCAAGAATCATTGAGCTTCAAAATGCGAAGAAATGTTCAAACATATTATCAGCAGTAACTACTCTGGAGTCAAATATAGCAGGAAATTTTCATTTTAAAACCCTGAAAGAGGACGAGGCAAGAATGATCAAGAAAAAGTGCAATCATTGTCAAGAAGAATAGAGGGTATTAGAGTGGGAATATTAAGAAATGAATGAATGCATAACACTCGGCGCACGTCTTGGATAATACTAGAAAACTTTTTCCTTTTTCTTCGCCTTTTGGTGAAAATTTTCCGACCAATCACGGAAATGCAACCACTTATCACCTCCAAAGATGGAAAAGAGATTGGAACATAAAGAGGAAGAGACAATTTAGAGTTACTCGTTTTAAAACCTTGATGTTGAACTCAATATCGAGTTTACTCAAATTAAAAAACTAATTTTGTTATGTAGAAAAAAAAAAATCTAATATTGACTTAAAAAAAAAGGACATAATAAAGTGCAAGGATAGATTCGAGATCATAATCCCAGACATACTATACATTGATTAAGCTCAAACCATTCTCCATGTTGAGTTCAATTACTTAAAAACCCCGAGGTGAAGTTTAAATTAAGTTATTCCTAGTTGCATAGTAATTATACTGAGCATGTCCTCACTCAATTCTCTATTCTTGAGATTATTGGCTTATTAGACACGTCATATCTCAATTATTTTATTAAACAAGTCATGTGGATATTTCATTAAGACCTATAAATATTCTCGAGAGTTATTTTTAAAGATAATTGAAACCAACCTAAAATTTCATCTCTACTTTTTTCTTTAAAAATAGACCAAGTTATTACTGATTTAAATATCAAAGTCTCTGCCCAAAAACTAAACTCAAAGCATTGTAGGTCTATTCAAAGAGAAGACTGAGACCAAGAATGATTTGCTGGTTCGTTGCAATTATATAAAGTTATTTTAATACTCTTAGTAAACTTTATTATGTACTAATCCATTAAAAGTATTTAAATTTTTTCTTATCATTCTTAATATTTTAATTTTCTACTAGCACTAGACTTTATACTGCAGATTATATTCATTCACATCATAACCCCACCATAATAAAATGCTTTATTCAGGTATTAACCAAAAGGAAAAAAAAAAAAAAAAATCACCCCACCATCCTGCAAGTCAGCTCAAGAGTTCGTTAACAAAGCTTCATCTTTATTTTTCCATGTCCTCTGTCTGGTCAGGTTCGGTTGGTTCATTGGTGGGCCTTCTGCTCCTTAAAGTCAGTAATTCTCGAGGTCTATCTCCCATCTTCCACATTGCATCAGTCCGTCACATAGAGTGTTGTAAAAACAGAGAAAAAGGGGAAAAACCGATAAAGTTTAAAAAGGTATAAAATCACAGCTCACAGAGAAGCAATATCGACATCACAGATAAGTAATGTTTCAAGGTCATTCCACAAGCTACCAACATTAATGTAGGAGCAGTGTCAGTCAAGAGATCAAACTAATTACTAATCCTCCATGTCACTAAATCCCTATACATTAATCTATATGACTACCACCCCTTACAGATTTCATCCATTTTGTGCTCCAGGTATTAAAGCTGAAGCAGAGGCAGTGCCATTATCATGCCAAAGACAGAAATCAGCAACAACATCATCCATGCAGGTAGTGGCTGTTTTTTGTTTCTTCTGCCCTTTTGTGTGTCTACTCTTTTATCATCTTCACCCGAGGAATTAACAAGTTTTTCTGCCTCAGGTTTCAAATCTTCTTGAGGTGACTCAACTGACATCTGCTCCAAAGCACACTGCTTGTTGTACTTCTCAACATACTCTGGAAACAGTTTCCTGAATGTAGGACTGCAAGGCAGGGCATGGAAATCAATTAAATTTAGGAAAAACTCCTACCAGTTTATAAGACAAAAATGAATTATTTTTATTTTTCTTTCATCAGCAGAGATCTAGATCCTCAAAAACAGGAAAAGGGAGCCGAGTTACTAACTTACTTCTTACAGTTGAAAGCAAGAGACTCCTTTGCATAACGTTGCTTTTCGTCAACAGTTGTGTTCACACTGCCAGTGGTTGGACTGTTGTCCATCTGCGAAGGAGAATGCATATTCAGAATGCAAGCAAGTTCATGTAGAGTCAATAGACTCAAGCTTAACTGGAACTAAGATACTGCAATGCCAAGATTAACTCACCATGAAAGAAAGAAGCCCAGTAAGTATGCTGCATTTGTTAAAGAAGAAGTCAGTGAAATGGACTAAAGAAGCAATCCAATCTTTTGCAACTTTTTCATTTATCTAGAGCATGTCTATTTAGTCACAAACGAGATTAAAAAATATATATATATCATATAGAGAACCTACATTCAAACTGAATAATCATACCTTGATACAGACCACATAGGATTCCAAAGTTCTGGATGAACTGCAAAATAAGAGGGATCAATCTATGGTTGAAAACGGTATCATAAATAGCAAACACTGGATCTCAATCCAAAAGACTTACAATCACTCATAGATAAGCAGATTTTCTTTTGAGTCATAAATCGTCCATTGGGAGTGATCATGCTGCAGGAATCAGAAATATAGTTTGAAATCAGTAAGTGGTGTATTCAAAAAGCTTACAAAAAGGGTGAGAGAGGAAAGAACATACGTGATTCCAGGAGGTTTATAGGGATACTCTGGAGGAAACTTGATCTTTCCATAGTAATACCCACCTAATCAAAAGAAAAGACAAACATAAAATTAGACAAGAGAATCCTAAACACAAAATATGGAGGTGTCTTACAGACTGCAATGACACATCCCATGACATAAGCCATTATAGAGCAAAATTAACCAACCTGCAAAAGGTGTTCCTTCACTCCCTTCTAGCACATAATCTGGAGCATAAAACAAACAAATTCCATATACGTGAGGAAAAGGAAAGACTAAATCAACAGTGTGGAATAAATATGGCCTATTACAAAAAATAATTGCAGAAACAAGAGGAGTAAGTATTCCAGATCAACCTGTAACAAATATAGGAAGGAAATACCAGTTTCTTGAAATTGGTTGATAAGTACAATAATATGCCACAACTTTTAATCATTGTAACAGATGAAACTAAAAGTTATGTACATTAGTGGTACATAAGCATAAAACTTAGCTATACAATTTAATATATGCTTCAATTTCCTTAAGACAATCCATGCGTCCAATTGATAAGTTTATAACTAAATATAGATCCAATTCAAGTGCTTTCTACACATTTATATCTTTGCAGAAAGAAAACAAGCCTTATTCGTAGTTGGTACACTTAAATCTTGACCGAGGTTTCCATAACCACTTGAGTGACTCAACCACAGTCAGCCTTACAACACCAACAAAATATCTGAAGACCATTATCCTTTTCTCCTTCTAATTCTTAACTAAAGATTTAAAAACCAAGGATGGCAGCAAAATTCATAATTGGTACAAAGGGTGCTTTGACACCATTTTAAACATTTGCCTATTCTAAACATCTAATGACGTTGAATAAACTTACGCCACTCAAGAATGTCATTTGGTGAAGGACGAGCAACAACATGAGAAACTGGATCCTAAAAGTTCAAAAAGAAATAGTTAGAATTCTGCAGCAAGCAAAATGAAATTATAGAGTTGCAGCATTATCTCTCATACCACAAAACATATTCTCAAATAATATACATCAAACAGAGTGAAAAGAATGCCACAATTTATGTTTCAATGCAAGTTTAGCAAAATGTCTAGACAGATTTACTTTATGGCATTGGTTTTATAGGCAAACAAGGGATATATAACTTTCTCCTTATTATTATTATTATTTTTCTTTGGATCAATATAATTTTCTCCTTATAAAATGGAAAATCTGTAGACTGATTGCAATACATGGAACTTAAAGGCAAAGGTAAAACTTACTTTACAAAGTGCTCTATATTCCTTTTGAAGGCGCTTCACACATGCTCTCTCTGCCATCTTAAATCCTAAAACCAGCCACCACACAAAAAATAAAGCCTTATGAGCTCCTTTGTTTTATTATTATCCCCTGTGACAAAATAAAATGGAAGCGAACACAGTTATCAAAATAATAGATCAAATCATTAATTCTAAAAAAATTTGGCATAAAATCATCTAACCAAACACATAGAATCAATTGAGCAACTTCTCAGATTTTACAACCCGAATTTCGTGTTAAAACACACACAAAATTAAAGCAATTCAAAGGAGAACCAAAGAAAACACCAACCAATGCAACGTGAGAAAATGATAATTTTTATGGAAGCAACAGTCTCAGACTCAAAAATACGTCCTTTAGAAGCCTAGAATCCATAATTTGTGATTCTGAGGAACAAGAATGGCATTAACATAGCAATCGCAATAAATATACCTTTGTTCTTATACTACACCATGGCATTATAGCAGAACAAATTCGACTCAGCAGAATTCAAACTATTCCATCAAAATTCTTCCAAAAAAAAACCTAAAAAAAGCATCTAACCATTTTAAAACCTAATCTAGTACCAAAGGCCGATCTCGAAAATTCTACACAATCGAATCAAACTAAATTAAATTCCAAAATCAAACACGATAATATCAATTAAAGACAGGGACGAATAAATCCGTACAACATTTCAGAGACGATGGGGAACGTGAAGAATAAGATTACGTTCAAACACACCGGAAATCCAAATCGATCTGCAAAATTGAAATCAACGAAGAACAATATTAGCGACGGAGAGTTTACCTTGGGATTGGCGGCGTTCGATTTTGATGCGGACGAGGAGAGAAAAATACGAAATTGGAACGAAAAGATGGAAATGGAAAGAGGGTGAGAAACTAACGGGATTTGACGGTCGTCGGTGACATAACGGAGGGCGTTAGGAGGAAGAAAGGGAGTGCGTTTTATGACAGCTTTGCGTGGTAGTATTGTGGCGTACTACTCCTGATTGCACAGAGTGAGTAAGCTTTTGTGAATGGTTTTCGGGATTTAAGAAAAGACAATGTTGACCTCAAAGGGCACCGACTTAAAAGGGGTTTTTTTTTTTAAGAAAATAAAAAACTATTTTGCCATTTTAATTGCACAATTTAACAGTTTAATTAGGGCAAACATTTAATTTTTTTATATCTTAGTTATACACTGAAAGGTAATTATTTTTTATCTTTTATCTTATCTCACTCGTAGTACCATGCAATTCAAATTTATGACTTTTTACTTTTAATAAAAAGAGATAATCATTGAACTATTTAAATAATTAACAGAAACATTTTAATATTAAAAATTGTACTTGTTCTACATTTCACAGCTAATGTTTTATTATTTGGTGTAGTTTAAATTGCTTTTTATTTAACAGTACATGTTTTATTATTTAGTATAATTTAAATTATAAATAAAGTTCTCATACAAAATATTCATTAACTCTTTTTTTAAATATCCTATGATTAATTTAAACACACTTTAAAATTTCTTTCTTTCTCTAAATTTAAGTGAAAAATAT